AAATAAATCTGTTCTTTTTTTCTTATAAAAGGTTAAATAAAACAAAAACATTGTTGGTAATTTTCTGTGTAACTTTACAAACAGCAGCTCATAGAAAAGTAGTTTTTTTGCCTCATCAGCACTTTTAGAGTTTCTGCAGAACCGACAGAAACAATCAGATCTTCCTCAGAATAAAACATGAGCTGAATCCAATCAGACTGAAACATGTTGGTGGTTTTTCAAAATAAAACCAACTGACAGCTGTTGGTTTTTCAAAATAAAACCAACTGACAGCTGTTGGTTTTTCAAAATAAAACTAACTAACAGCTGTTGGTTTTTCAAAATAAAACCAACTGACAGCTGTTGGTTTTTCAAAATAAAACTAACTAACAGCTGTTGGTTTTTCAAAATAAAACTAACTAACAGCTGTCAGTTGGTCTTCAGCTGATTTCTGATCAACTAAATGATTTATTCCTGATTTCTGAGCTGACAGAACCGGTCCGGAGGTTCTGGACCCTCTGATGTCATCAGAACCTTGAGGAGGGTTCGGGTGGAAGTGGACGCAGCCGTGACGCACGCACCGCCACTCTATATGAGGCTGTGCGCGGCGCGCGCTCCGGCTGCTCCTCTCCAGAACCAGAACCAGAACCAGAACCAGAACCTCCTCCAGCAGCTCCGAGATGCAGCAGAACTCTGTCCCAGCGGAGCAGCGACTCCAAGTTACCATGAGCCGAACCGGGTCCGGTCCCCGCTGAGGTCCCTCCCGTCCCCGACCCCCCCGGACCATGGAGCCCCTGAGCGGGTCCGTGAACGCAGCAGTGCCCCAGGCCGAGGCGGACCCGTTCAGCGGACCGGTCCCGAACATCTCGCCCTGGAACTTCACGGTCCTGGCGGTGCTGATGTTCGTGGTGACGTCACTGTCCCTGACGGAGAACTTCCTGGTCATGTTCGTCACCTTCAGGTTCAAGCAGCTCCGGCAGCCCCTCAATTACGTCATCGTGAACCTGGCCCTGGCGGACTTCCTGGTGTCCCTGTCCGGGGGTCTCATCAGCTTCCTGACCAACGCCAGGGGCTTCTTCTTCCTGGGCCAGTGGGCCTGCGTCCTGGAGGGCTTCGCTGTCACCTTCTTCGGTAAGTCCGGACCTGAGGTTCTGGTCCAAACCTTAAAAACTGACTCAGCTTTCATGGGTCAGGAAAAGTTCTGGATTTCTTTTTTTTTTAAAGTCCAACTGGAGCCTGGATCAGTTTATTTATTAAAAGTAAATAAATAAAAGTTTATTTATATAAAAACATTTCACAAGGTGCTCTACAGTTATTATCAGAAATAAAAATATCACAATAACTGTACAAATTACACATTCAACATTTAAAACAAACAAAAGAAGTTCAGTTTATGTGTCACCTTACAGGGTGGACACCAGAACAACACAATGATTGTTAGTCAGAGTTTATAAAGTTGTGAGGTGTTTAATGTAATGTCTGAGTGAAGACGTGTGTTTTAGTTGTTTTTAAAGGAGTCTGTGTTTTCAGCAGATCTTAGAGAGGACAGTCTAACACAGTCTGAGAGCTGCTGAGGAAAACACAGTCACCACAGGTGTTGAAGTGAGTACGAAGGACCAGCAGAAGGTTCTGGTCTCGTGAGCCCAGGTTGTGTTTGGTTATAAGGTCAGAGAAGACCAGGGATGTAGTTCGGCTCCTGGTCGTGTAGAGCTCTGAAAGTGAGAACCAGGACTCTGAACCTGAGCCTGAAGTGTACTGGGAGCCAGTGGAGCTCTGATGATACGATGTCAGAGGATTTAGATGTTAGTTAGGAGTGTAGCAGCAGAGTTTTGAACAAGTTGAAGTCTGTTTAATTGTGATTTAAGCAGGTGAACTGTTCCAGTAAAGACAGGTTGAGATAAACATGGATCACCAGTTCCAGGTCAGAGGCAGGCAGGAGGGGTGACATTTGGAAATGTTACAGAGGTGAAAACAGCAGGAGGTAACGATGTGTTTATCTGGTGACAGGTCTGAATCAAAACTGACTCCAGATTTCATTTGTTGTTTTTAACAGTCGACCCCAGAGAGTCCAGTTCTTTCAGTTTGTGGTTTTAAATCAGATATATATCTGAT